AAAACCCCAAAACCCCAAAACCCCTTTAGATAAAAACTTTAAAGTTTTGGAGAGATAAGCATTCAGAATTAATAATATAATAAAAGATAATTTTTATTTTAAAATGGACTTAAAACCCAGAATGAGAGATGAGCTAAAGTAAATTTAGCAATAAATTAGAGGTGCCATAAATTAAAATTAACCTTAATACAGAAAACTAGAGATAGGTAGCAGTTAAAAGATTGAAAAAACTAGATTATGAGATTGAGGATGAAGATTGAATGTTTAAACACACTGCTATGATGACAAGAGAAAGATAATTACTTGATGATACAAATCTTGGTAATGTTCTATCAAATCTAGGTGATGACAAAGATATTGGTATTAATTGATTAAATGCTAATTATGTGTTAGATGATTTACTTGGTAAAAAGAATGCAAAATAAAAAGAAGATATATTGAATAAGCCTTTAGAAGCAATATAGCAATAACTCTCTTACTATATTTTTACTAGTAAAACTTCAGAGTTAAAGAGCTTTAATGTAAGTATATTTATCTCAAGAGATTAACCTTCAATAGTAAGCTAAATAATAACTGGCATAGACTCTTAATGTACTTGACGATGAAATACAACACTAGGTAGTAGAGTATAGTAAAAAGCCTGACTCATAGAACTTCGATTTGGTCGACTTTTAAAAAGAAGCGTTTAAGAGAGCGGAAGAATAAAGAAGAAAGCAAGAGGAAGAGAGAACGAATGCCTTTAAAAATAAAGTGTTTGGTGGCATTATGAGCAAGTTCTAGCAATCAAAGGATGAGAAAAAGACAAATAAAAAGTAAATGACTCTGGATGAATTAGATTTTGAAACTCTAAGCTTAAAAGAAATAGCTTAGCTTCCAAATGATAATAAAGTGTTAGAGTAAGAAAAAGCGAAACTAAAGAAGACAACACGGAGAGTGATTAATCCAGAAGATATTGAGCTACTTTAACTTCTCTTTGCTGATGAATTGATTTCAACTTAGCATCTGCATTATACCAAAGAATAATAGAATATGGAAAATAGCATAGATGAATAGGAGGGTGAGAGTGATGAAAGCCAATCAAAAGTAAAGTAAAAGGAGGACAAATTGAATAAAAATGTTGACTTGGAATAGTTAGAGAATCTTTCAGATATCCATATGGACTTGGGAGGATTAACTAGAGAAATAGCCCCTCTAAAGCACAAAAAGATTGATGATAAAAAGATAAGTGATAAAATCTATGTGAATCTTCATAGCACGGATGATGAAGAAAATCTAGTAGGATATCACTTTTTTCATCATATAATTGGACTTTCAAATTTGAAGAAATGTAATACTATTCTTAACTTAAATATTATTACTAGTGATGAAGGATAAAATAGATGAATTAAACATTTCTAATTTTAACACTGTTGTCCAGGATGATACTTCAGCTCTTGAAGATAGTGTCTTAATGAATTAAAAAGATGATTCAATTGAGCAGCTCAGCAAAAACTTTGATTTCGAAAATTAAAACAAAGATCAAGCTAAAAAATAGGCTTACTAAGAGTACAAGCAGTAATAAGCGGCTAAGAGACTAAGATTGAATAAGAGAAATGACTATAGTAATGAAGACGATGATGGCTCTTAAAGTGATGAATATGGTGAGGAAAAAAATGACGAAATTTATCCATTAAAAGGACAAGATAAGTAGGCGAATTTAAGAAAATCTGTTACTGCTAAGAGTGATAATTCAAAGTAATCTAGTAACAAAGGGAATGAAAATCTCTAGTATTAGAGAGAGATTTCAGATCCATTAACTGATGAATCTCCAAATAAAAAATAGCAAAAGCAAAACAATTAAGTGAAAGGACCTATGAATGATTTTTTCAACCAAAAGTTTTAGGCTAGAAGACATGAGATGGATCAATTTCTGAGTAAGAGAATGAACAATAATCCTGAGTAATAAAAATCATAACCCAATTCTCAAACTAGGCCAGTAAAATCTGGCTAGCAGTCTATGCAATAATAATTATAGCAGTAACTGCAAAACAATGTTAGATAAGGATAGGTTTTATCATAATCTGATAGAACTGGAGGGGCTGGAGCTAGTAATTATAATTCAAGAGAAAGAGGTACTTCTGGTTCATTAGACAATAATTAAATTCAGAATACTGATGGAATCAAATAATAAGCAGGTTAATAAAGTGAATTTGTTTAATTGGTAATGGATTAATCTAAGTTGGAGGATATTAGACTGTTTAAAAGCTAAGATCCAGAATACATGTACAAGATTGAAAAGTTGCTTGAGAACATTGAACAGATTAGGGAAATCAGAGAGTCTCAGAAAAATTAGTAAAAGCCGAAGTTGATGTTAGAAGTTCTAAAGCGTCTTGAGATTTTGATAAATTAGCTATATCAATTGATAAAGAATAATGAGAATAAACTAATACCACTCTAATTTATAGCAAGATCATTTATGGTATAAAATGATGATTTTAATGAGATTCTAAAGGCAAAGATTCTTCCACTATTGATTAGAGAGTATCAAAAGAACAGAGAGTAAAATAAACAAAAATAGGCTAAAAAGCCAGGTTTTGGTGCAAGTAATGAGCCAAGCTAATCATATGGTAATGGCTAGTATTCTTAAAATATGGGAGTCAGTTAAAAAAATATAAGCCAATTTAATAGTAAAGAGGGCAGCTAGAAGTAATTGTAGTAAGTGCCCAAATAAGTTCCCAATAAGATATAGTAAAATATGAAGAGTTACTTTCAATAGTAGTCCATAAAGCACCTTTCTCAAGTTAATAAGACAAGAAATCCTGATCAATAATAGTAGCAATAGTTTTTAAAGAGCAAAAAGTCCATGGAATCAGCACCATACATAGATTATAAGCAGACAAGTGGTAAAAATACAGGGGGGCCTGGATCTAAAGCTTATCTTACAAATAGCACTAACAACAATAAAACAAAGAGTAATAAGAGTCCAGTGAAGTCTTAGAAAAACAAAAAAAGAGATGATAGTTAAGAAACTTGGATCGGGTCAAAGAATGATAGCTCAGATGAGATATATTATGATAACTCTACTAATAACCTAGCTATAAAATGAGATTCCATTTGATTTTAATTTAATAGTTATTTTATTTCATAAATTGCTCATTTTATATAAAGAGGGGTTTTGGGGTTTTGGGG